GTACAGGTGTGACCAGTCTCATTCTGCCATTATAAACTTTCTGATCAGATATGTATGTACATGTACATGTATCAAGGACACATGAAAATAATTGTGAATGCAAAAACGAGCGTGAAATAACCAACCAGGTACTGCCAAAGGATTTCAGTTTTGGGATATTACAGTGGTGTTCAAAATTATTTGAACACTTGGCATTAGGGCATTGCTTGAGTTGCAAGTTGCATGTGATAAAATGGCAATCAATATACCCATTAAATGTGTTGTGTACATTGTCCATACAAAATATTTGAACACTTGGCACTTTGAAACTGAAGTTGCCTGTAGTGACATAAACCAGTTATCTAATGTTTTCAAATTTCAGGACGTATTATCCAGACAACTTTAGTAACCAGCTATTTGTTCACCTCTTGCTCAATTTCTGCAGAACTTTTGGTTGTTTGTTTGTTCTTGTCTGAATAAATTGCAGTGCTCTTTCCATGTGTTAGTTGAGATTGAAGTTCTTAATGGTGGCAGGTAGAGGTACATAAAGCAATCCAAACTAACCAAAGCACAGATTGCCACAGCTTGAACATGAAAAGGGTAAAGATGGAACTTAACCGACTAAAGGGCACAAATAAAAGCCTTTTCTGATGCTGGATGAAGCTATACCGATCTACATGTACATTTATAACCATGGACACAAATTGCAACCTAAGCTCTGTAAAACACACTTTAGACAGGTTTATGGACACCGATTCATGCCAACACCGTCAGGGGAGGGGGAGGAAGTAGAAATTTCAGAGAGACATATCTGTACATGTACATGTAAGTCTTGAAGACTGGAGAAGAAGCTCAAGGGAGCTTTGAGATGACATCAGTAGTATGCTGACTGATGATTACAGTTTCTTTAACTGTGCATCGGAGGTTGATAGAAAAAGGACTTATCGACGGAGTAGCAGAGCAAGAAGCCATCATTGAGGGAGAACAACAGTAGATTGAATCGTCTAAATTTTGCAAAGAAACACAAGCATTGGACAAAAGAGGATTGGTGTAAAATCCTATAAACTAATGAATTTACATGTACTACATACAAATTTGAACAGTTTGGAACCAAACGGCGAGTGTGCAAACATAGAGTGTCAAGTGTTCAAATAATTTTGCGCATGTACGTGTCTTCAAGCGCTTGTTGAAAATAAAAACATTTCATGGATATATTGTACTGATTGCCATTTCATCACAGGGAACTAAAATACATGTACGTGTACAATCTACCTAAAATATGCTGTGTTCAAATAATTTTGTGCACCACTGCACATTTTTTGTACATGTAGCTTTGAAATTTCCTTTTGGAAATGTCATTAGACAAATACTACAAATGGTCGGAAAGTGTCAAATGTCCGACTGTGATCTCTCACTCTGCTCTCTTGCATTTGCTGAAGGAGCATTACATGTACAAGTAAGTGGAAACGTTACCAGTAGAGGACCTTGATGGATTTATGGACCACCTCAATAAAGTCTTGTAAACACTTGGTAGATACTAGTAAGTCTTTACATGGATATCACATTGATGACTTATGACTGAGCAAGTAAGTTGTCAGTAGTGCTGCCGCCTACGTACATGTACCTCCCTCTGGATAGCACATATCTCCTGATTAGAGTCACCTTGTACCTTTACCCAAGAGTAGCCCACCCTTCTCCGATGGGAGAAGCATGTCGGGAAAACACCCATGAACCAATTACATGTATAAAAAAATCAACATGACTAGGCTCTTTTGGTGCCATCAAAACCCAGAGGTAGAATATTTCCAAACCTTGCGTACTTTATTTGGAATCAGAATTTAAAGGCAGTATTACATATACTTTGTCTTTCGTTAACGAACCCTCTGAGTTTTCGGAAAAAACTTTCTGCTGGAAGTGCCTCAATTAATGGGTGTGCAAAAGCCTGATTTAATCTGGAAAATCAATTTTAGGAGAACGTGCCCCTGTCTATGCTTATACAGTTGTGGTTTGCCAGGAGTTACCAGCTGTGATCTTACCTCTTCTATTACGCAGCTCACACAATAAGACACTATTTAAGTAGCGAACAAGATTATTTAAGTCGCTTGGACTTTCCGTAAAGTACCCTCTAACATGTCTAAGTGAAACCATATGTTGGCAGACTCCTGCTCGAGCTTTAAACACATTAAAGGAATGCAATGCAGTTGCCTGTTTGTAAGACGGAACCCAAGTTAGCGGTGGTTCTCGGAAGACCAATGACAGTTTGGTTGGATGAGTTTCTGTGATCGCTAAATTTATGTTTTGTACACGTACATGTCCACTGGTTACAGAAGTACCGGCATTCTAATTCACATTGTCATCATACCATGGTCATTCTGGGATATTCAACCACTGCAGGTACCGGGTATTTATTCATTTTAAATTGTTGCTATCAGTAGTGTCTTCCTACGCAATTCTATTCTGATTCTTCTCTCCAAGTAGTAATTAACACCTTGGTTATCTTTTTGAGTTTCTCATGTTATTCAGTTGATAATTTTCTTCACAATAAAAGTTTTCGCCTTTACACTCATTGCTTGCACCTGTTACCGGGTTAGCATGTTGCAGTGCACTAACAAACATTTCCAATTTTATTTGGAATTTGTCCATAAAAAAGAGTTGAAAGCATTATTTTTCAAATGAGATATGCAAGACACCAGCTTTAAGTAAACACCTCTATCACGGGCACATTTCACCAGGTCTAAAGAGGAAGACCATCATGTCACGAAAATCGATACTTCTGGAATGGAAGACTCTCTCAATTCCCCAGGAGAACTGGACTTGTCCAATCTGCTGCCTCACTGTCGCCATCAGCCTTCCTCATAAAAAAGTCTTCTACTCAATTTTGTTCCTGAAAGAGGATAGAAGAAGAATCAACCATTAAAGTTGCTCTTTGGGGAGAAGGAGTGCAGTAACTTAATTTGTTGTGACATATTTTAATCTTTTTGGCAATGCAGCAAAGTGAGAGGCCGAAAAAGTGCAAATCATTCAGAAGTGGCTCTTTCAAGTGATGAGGTTTCACTTGTCACTTTACCAGGAACCAGGAAATGCATTTAGCTGTAAAAACTTTCAGTTGATGATTGATTTGAAGTCACTGGTGCCTGTGTTCTTGATGACTATTTTGACTGGAATTACCTTTGCAATCAGAAAATTCGAGAACTTTATCCCTGAGGTTATTATCAGTTTGTGCCTCATTGTTTATAAACCCAAAATAGGTTGTTATTGAAAGTAGACCTCCTTACATAAAACAAAGATATCCTTCATATGCATTCTCACCCTCCAGAGCTCCATATGCACTTACCAGTCATTATTGCGCTAAATGGTGGCTATTGCAAAATTTGGCTACAGTCTGGAGCAGTTGGTGAGAAAAAAATGTGTTTGGTTTTGCATAAAAAGAAAAGACTCGGGAACATTTACCAGCACATGAACTAATAGCTATTACATGTACATGTAGTTTGGAATTCGTCATCTAGAGCCCTGATCCCCCCTCCCCCTGTGGTTTTTTGTTGTTGTTAAGTTTTGCTTTAACCAAGAAAATATTGTTGAGTCTACCAAGCATATCGTTTATTTGGTCTTGGAATGTACATTCATTATTTGAAGTTTACTTTTGAACAGGGAAAGCTACACAGGTTCTAATAAAATCTTTGGAAAATAACTATTTTGCTCCAATAATGATTCTGTGCTTACTTCCTTGACAGCCTGAGGTGTTGGTTTTCACAGAGCCTCCTAACCGTAAGCTCTTCTGTCTCCTCTGCAAGAATGTCTTCAAGGACCCTGTCATTACTCAATGTGGCGTAAGTTGCCTCATATGTGTACATATTTCTCCTCTTTCAATTAAAAAGTGGATGTGTTGACGTAGATTGTCATTATATTCCCTCAAAAATTGATAGAACCATTTCTCTTCATGTTCACTTACCAGTTTCAGGAGCAACAGTTTAAAAAATGCAGCCCAGGGTTTAAAAAATTAACCTCAAAGTTCCTGCACAGTAATGTTTTTCCGCAGTGTTTTTGTTGGTCTGGAATCTGTCATGGTAGCATTTTCAAATTTAAAAAGCAATTTATTTTTTACCTGAATTTCACAGTTGCACATGTAGTTCCATCTGCATGTGTGGCACACATGTACAGTACAGTATCTCCTTGCTCCTTGGCATAACCACAAAACTTACACAAGGTCTGTCTGCTGTGATAAGATGGACTCTCAGAGCCAAAAATTTCTGAAGGACAAATTAATTGATAATAGATTTTCATATACTTTAATTGCTTGAAGCTTCTGTTCCAGCAAATTTGAAAATGTGTAACTTTTTGAAATCTATTCTGGTGTTGGTCAGCAATTTTCTGTTTATTTCTATGACTTTATTTTGAGATCTGTTTACATTTTAAAATCAGTCGTACTCCTGTTGTTGAACAACATTTGAAACTCAATAGTTCTTGCAAGTTCAATGCCACAATGGAAGGTTGACATGTATTGCTTGCATAGTATTGTGCTAAAGTTTTTTGTAATGTAGTTCTTAAAGTGTTACATTTGTTGAACAATCTGTGTCCGAAAACAAGTAGTTTTGATGGAGCAGGATGTCTCAGCTCTAGGGGCACCTAGATCTGTCATCCTAAAAATGCCTGAATCTCATAAGTCTGAGTAAGTCAGCTGTCAACGCTCAGAAAATAAAGAGGCATAGAAACACATAAATCTGTCATCAAGTCTTGTGGTGTTTGCAAGGAAACCTATTGTCTGCACTCTTGGGTGTACATACGGTACATGTAAGTGTATGTGATATGCCTCATAGCATAAGTACACGTAGATGTTGAAGCCAGACATATCATGGCTTGCATGCCGGGAATGTACAGGAAGTGGCATTTTGGGTAGAAGTCACTGGAGATGTGCCCAGCGACGCCATCTATGTGTTGTTAGTTCGCGGCAATAATAGCTAGTCTCCTTTGCTTATGTTTGCATGTTGGTGAGCTTAGACACACCCTTAATTGACTGTTGCAGGAGCCCCAATGCATGCAAACTTTAAAGGGATACAGTACAGTAAACACCTGCTGTACCATCACACCTTATGTCTATATATACGCATTGTAGGTAGGCCCACCAGTGTTCAAAAGCTTTCAAATCTTTGCAGAAATTTGGTTGGACAGTACTGAAGAAAAAGAACTGATCTATTGTGCCTATGGTTAAGAAATATTGGAGTTGACTTTGTCATCTCTAGATCACACATAAGTTTGTGTGTGCAATTAAAACTACCTTCATACATCTACATTTCTCATGGTGTAATTTGGTTCAACTGATTTGCTAATTGGATGTGAAAATGTCTTACCATTTTACTCAGTATGTTAACATCAAATCACTACAGCTGTGAAAGCTGTGTTTGGTATCTGATAGTGATGGTTGTTGCCTATCCCATAAAGTCAGCATTTCCTGTCATTGGCTACATGTAAGAATCCATGCAAGGTTATTCATAACATGATGTCAGTTGCTTTGTGTTAATCCCATGTTTTTACTTTATTCATCAGCACACCTACTGTCGATTTTGTGTGACGTCTAGACAATATGGTACGTATAACAGTAGCTTAGTCATCGCTTAGGTCACACTCACAAGGAAAATAGTTGACTTCTATAGAAAGGATGGTAGGGATTTCTCAGTATAAATATATACAGTCTATGGTACATGTCTGTACAGGGAATCACCAGTCAAGTCAAAGAAGAGATATCTAGGTTGTTGCTGGATGTTTAAATTTTCTTTAGTGTTCACAGTTGGATTCTTGTTTACATACTGTACCTTTATGTATCTATAAAGTGGGGGAAAATTCAACACTTTGGTTTATAGATATGGGATATGCACTGTCAAACCACCATTACAGATGTACCAACATATTGTTTAATATCTCAAGTAGATGAATACATGGCCATTTTCCAATACTCAACTTCATCTCCGTCTCAGGCTTTGTTCCCAAAACTAATCCCCAAATGTGGGCCTGAAGCATTTAAATTACATTGGATTACTGTAATTTTTGGCTTTCTTACATCTCATTTGATGTTCTGTGGCACTATTAGACTGATTATTGTGTTTACAGCTTCAAAATCAGCTAGTAAAAAACAGCTGAAGCCTTAGAAGAAGCGGAAGTTGAGTATTGGAAAATGCCCATGTACACTGTATGTATGAAGAAAACTCCATTTGTTTATAACACAAGTAGAAGCCTCCAGAGGAATGAAGGATACGGTGTAGCCTGTGTTTTAACCCTAACCCTCCTCAATCCTCCAACAGGTGAAGGATTGAGGAGGGTTAGGGTTAATGTACATGTACTGTATGAAGATTTTAATAGTTTAAATTCAATTCTGAAAAAGGAAGAGAAATACAGTTTTGAGTGTGCAATTGAGGTCCAGTGGTTACTACATGTGTACTCAAATAGGCCATGTCAACAAATGTAACAGGTGAACTTGTTCAGTAAAGACACATAAATGCAATAAATACAACTTCAAAATGATGGATACTTTCAGAAACATGAAAGACACGTTTCAGCACTAAGCTGAAACTTGCTACTGTTGTTCAGATTACATGAGTTTCAACATCAGTGCAGTTCCGCTCGGTTATATAGTTCAGTTGGCAGGTTGGTGGTCTAAAATAAATGATGATCAGTGATTAACAGTATAGGTTTTTCAAACTCATCTAAGACTACAATAAGAGTATTTGAAATTAATACAAGCTAAAAATAAGGAAGTGATAAAGCAGTAACTATCAGTCAACTATATTTACTCCAGGTCGTACATGTATGTTCTTATATGCAACTCAAGAATTAGTCACTCTGTCACTAACAGCTGACATAAGATCAAGAAAACCTTGAAATGTTGCTTTACTTGGAACTTCAAATTTTAACCTCTGACCCTAGTGTGTTACATACATATGTACATGTACATGTGCTATTTAGAACACTACTACAGATAATTAAAAATGTATGCAAAATGTTCTGAACAGTAGGTTGAAAAGATGTTTTATACAGTTAAACTACTGCACATGATATAAAATCAATACTACAGTGCAACTCTAGAACACCATCAATGCCAATCAGTGAGTTAATACAATACATATATCTGTTTTAAAAAAAACCAGTAAAATAGCTACCTTGTAACTTTTAAGTTCAGTTAAACCTGTAAAGCTCATGGAGTTTCTGATGTGTTGATCCACATACCGAATGAAGCAATAGTGCCCCCAATAGTTAATTATCAGTAAATCAGACTCAAACTAAACAACAATTTTGGAAGCTTCCTGGCTGAAAACAAATATTTAGAGATAATTATCCTTGAAATGAATTCAGCTGTTAGCCAAGTATTTTGTCATTGGGCAAAGCTTCTCTCTGGCATGGTCCAGCAAGAAGTACTGCACATGTATATGTTACTACCAAATTCAACCTTAATACAATTTGAAATGTCAAGGATATCCAATCTCTGGATGTTGTATTTAAAATCACACCTACATAGCACATGTATGTATCTGTAGAAAGAAGTATTGATTCCTAAATCTTGATTACTTGTTTCTGGGTTGAACCTACATGTATGCATGTATGTAGGATATCTCTAGATGAGTTATACATGTACATACATGTATCTCTAAGTCTAATACCACACATGCAACGGTATTTACCAAGTTGAAAACTACCTAAAAATAAAAGTTGACTAACTCCATGCAACTCTCATCTAATGGAAACTTTGAAAATGGGGAGGGGTGGGGGATTCAACATAATGAACTTTTTCGAATTGTGTAACATTGCTAGGTTAGTTTGTAATTCTCCATTTCCTGAGGGTTTCTGATGAATTCCCAATCTTAAACATGTCCAGCTGTGCAACGTGTCAGCTTGGGATTTGTAGAACTTCAGTCTGCGGGTGTAAGTTCAATAAAAGAAAAGAAAAAAAGAGAAGCAGATAAAAATATGACCTGTGTATGTGTGCGTGCATGCAGACATCCCAACCATTTCAAATTCAGGAAGTGTTTAATCAACACTGGCTAACCTGATTTTCTTATTCACCCCGCTATCAGAGAACCCTGTGTTTTGGACAGGAACCCAGGTTATACCAAGATTGCTGACTGTCTGTCCCACAAAGGGAAGGGAATGGAAGAGGGGGCGTTAACCTATCGTTTGATACAGTTCCTCGTGCCAAGATTTGTTTGACCTATCGTAAACTCTCAACAATTAAGCTCTTTTTCACTAGATCAATTTGAAAAGAGCGAATCCATGAAGTGAATTAGAAGATCTTCTCTTAGTTATTAAATCCCAGTTTAAGGAAATGAAACTTTGAAAATTGTTTTGAATTATGGTAGATTTGAACTTTCTTCTGTACCAGAAGCCTTCATTATACATGTAGATCATTTACATGAAATACACGTACATGTACGTGTACATAGCAACAAACGGATAGATTCAAAATTAAATTGTAGTCATCTGCATTTTTAGCATTTCTGGTAAGTCTTTTACTAATCAATTCCTAAATGTCTGATGCCATCTTTGCTACCTCTCACATTTTTCATTTTCAAGTTGTACCTAGCGGTAACTGATATCCCGCTGTCAACAAAATGTTATTCATTGCTCATTTTCCCATTCCCATTTCAATTAGAGTTGGACATTGCTTCCCTAGAAGTAGAATGTGGAATGTAAACGATTCCCAGTGTACTGTAGATAACATGCTGTGTTTCCTTTTCCATTTGTCTTGTCAGTGGGTTGTGCAAGATGCTGTACGAAACTTGAACGTGATATCCCTTAGCCAACTAACAATTAGTTTCACG